AAAAACAAAAAACAAAACAAAAACAAAAAACAAAAAAATATATTGAACCTTGCAACTATTGATAACTAACTTTGCAACTAGATACAATCAATATTGCAGCTACAGAGAACTAACCTTGCAACTACAGACAATTAACCTTGCAACTAAAACACAAATAACCTTGGAAAAACAGAAAACTAAACTTGAAACTACAAACAACTAACATTGCAACTGGAGATAACTAAACTTGCAACTACATTCAACTAAACTTGCAACTGCAAACAGTTATTCTTGAAATTAGATACAACTAACATTGCAACTAATTATATCTAACTTTGCAACTAAATATATCTAACCTTGCAACTACTGATAACTAAATTTGCAACTAGATACAACTAACATTGCAACTACAGAGAACTAACCTTGCAACCACAAACAACTACCTTGCAACTACAGACAACTAACATTGCAACTGCATATAACTAAACTTGCAACTACATTCAACTAAACTTGCAACTGCAAACAGTTAACCTTGCAACTAGATACAACTAACCCTGCAACTACAGACAACTAACCTTGCAATTACAGACAACTAATCTAGCACTAACAAACAACTAACTTTGCAACTACAAAAAAAATAACATTGCAACTATATACAATTAAACTTGCAAAGTTAGTGTAAAAATGATGCATAGTTAGTGATAAAGTGTTGCACAGTTAGTGTCAAAATAATGCACAGTTAGTGTCATCATTTTAAGAGTTGTCCTCATTTTAAGAGCTGTCCGCATTTGATCCACCCCATATTTATTTATACTAATGCCAAAATCAGTTACCATATCCTTTCAATCTACATTCTCTTTTTATGAGATTGATTAGGAGAGAGAAATGAAAATATGCTTATAATAACTCCTTTAATTCCTTAATTCGCGCACCTTTTTACGTTTTTAATAGAGAGAAATAAAAACATGTATTGTAATTTACGCAGCTGTCTAGTAGGTATATGTTACATTTATGTTGGTATATATTCAATATATGTTGGAATTAAAAACATGTCTTGCATAAAAAATTATATCTCTTTGCTTTTTTTTTTGTTTGTTTAACGTTCATTGAAAAATAACGCCCCACACCTATAATTACGACAATGTTTGCTAATTAAATGAGAACATTAAAATAGGAATCCATTATATATGAAATGGAAATATATCCAAAACATAATCCGGATTGGTATATGTTGAGTTTATACGTGGTATATTATAAGAATATTTTATTTAAGACGAAACTAACAAATGAACAATTTGGTTTTTTTTTTTGTGAATATTAGAAGATTATGCAACATATACTAAATATAAACCCAATATATACTGCTCTTTCAAGACATGAAAATTTATACGGACTTTTAAACTCAACATGACTGTGTCCTTTGTTTTAGGAAGAAAGTAAAATTTAAACTCAATATGATGTCCTTTGTTTTACACCAAGTATAAACTTAACATATACTAATCCGGGATTATGTTACATATTCCTAAGACGTACATATATTGAACACATACTGCATATATACTCTACATATAGTAAAACATAAAAAAATGAAGGACTTCTAAGCGTTGGATAGTTATCCTCTGAGAAGGATTCAATCATAGTCAAACACAACACCAGATTATTCATCAACAAAAAAAAGAGTACCAAAACAACACCAAGTTATTCATCAAAACGGCACACCAAGTTTTGGTTAAAAATGAATATCAAAAAAAAAAATAAATTAACCAAAAAAAAAAGAAAAATTCTCATTTTTCATCTCATATCAAATTCTACTAAACATAAAACAAACATTGAAATAATCCGATCGAAGCTAGGGGTGAGCGTGGGTCGGTACGGTTCGGAGATTGATATAAATCTCCAGAACCGTACCAAACTTCGGAGATCCCAAAATTCGATCTCCGAAACTGTACCAAAAAGTCGGTTCGATTCGGTTCGGTTCAGAGATTTTTATTTTTCGGTTCGGTTCGGTTTGGTATTCGGGACTATTGGGACGGTTCGGTACGGTATGGTTTGGTTCGGATTTTCGAAGATTTTTATTTTTTAAAATTATTTTTAAATGACTACCTAGTTATATTTTAATTTCATCAATAATTCATCATATTGAAGATTTTATTTTGAAATCAATTCTATAAGTAACTCTAAATTTTAGTTATTTAATTTTTATATAGCTTTAATAAAACCAACATGCATCAGTACTTCCTCACATTAAGATTTTATTTTGAAATCAACTTTATAAGTAACTCTAAATTTTAGTTATAACTAAATTTGTGCAACTAATATTAAAAATTTAAAATTCAAATAAAATATAATTTTTTTTTCTTTTAAAAAATATTCTTTAAACTTTCATATTATTTTAATAATTATTTTATAATAGAAAAAATTCAATTGTAGATCAAGTATTACTAAGCATGAAATTTAAGTGAAGGTTAATATTTATTACTATATTATATAGAATCAAAGTTGACATAAAATTCATTAATAACACACCTAATGTTATAATTCGATACTTAATTTTGGTTTTTCGGTTCGGTTCGGTACAGTACGAGACGGGACAGTTCGGTTCGGTTCGGTTCGGTTCGGGGTATGGATATTTGTGAAATCTCCAGAACCATACCAATTATTTTTTCGGTTCGGAGAAAGTCAAACGGTCAACGGATATTTTTTTGGTTTGGAGTAATTTTGGTTCGGTTTTTGGAACGGTTCGGAATTCTCCGAGTCCCATGATCAGCCCTAATCGAAACTCTTCAAATGTTGCTAGAGTTGTCGTACTCCACTCTGTTGGATTTCGACCAGCTCGATTCGCTCCCCCAGTTCGAATGCCTCTCCCGGTGGTCGAATGCCGAGTCTGGATGGTGGGGTTGGAGCGGATCCTTCCAGAAGAGACTTAGGACGGCGTCGGATGGCAAAGGCGGGCGACCCAGCGGTCGGGGACCACCGCCTTAGCTCAGTCGGGGAGGATGGTGCGAGTCGCGAGGTCATGGATTGAGGATATGTTTCCGATGGACACAACCCTGTGAACGGCGTCGTAGCTTGAGCTCTAATCTGAGGTCTATCTATGGCGGATTGTTTTTTCTAAGATATCTTTTGGGGGATTGTGGGGTATTTGTGTGTTGTGTTTTGATCTTGAGAAAAAAAAAAGAAAAAAAAAAACAGAGAAATTCTACAGGGAAGAGAAAATATAAGCGTAAAATTGTAGGAGGAGAAAAAAAAAGAAGAAGAAGAGAGAGAGTGGGGGAGAGGGAAAGAGAAGACTAAGAGAGAGGGGGAAGGAGAAATATAAGTGCATATTTAATTTCAATTAAGGATTTCATTAGCATTTAATAAGCCAGAAAAAAAAGTAATAACAATTACATCTTATATGTCAGGTATAATTGAAATATTTTTAGCTTGTTTGTAACACCCCACTCTGATTTTAAAGAAATCCCAGGCTTCCCAAAAATCAAGCAAACATTTTTCGAAATCATTTTCGAAATTCATGGGTATTAAGAACATTTTACTCAGTTCAAGTCTTATCTGGACCCACGGGGTTTCATAAACTCGATTTGTACATGTGGTTTTCTTTAACCGCTTCATAATGTATCAAGAGTACCCAACTCACACACAATAGCATGAATAATCAATAACGACATAATATTCACTTCAGCAAGTACTCAAGAATTTCCAAAAACATCCAAACATCTCAAATGTCCCAAATTCAAAGCATAAGTTTGAAAAATTATTCAACATGTCTCAATAATCATAATAAGCGGAAGCT